CTGTGGCACTATTGCGAGGCCATTTGATTCCGCTCACTTTATAATGGATTTCTAGCTCGTGACACACTATAATACAGATTGGTAAAGCTATATGAGGCATTAGAGATTCAAGTACTTTATGTCCTATTTATTCCTTATGTGCCACGGGCCCCATGTCTTGAGATATGACCAGCTCAACACAAGAAACCTTTAATAAAATAAAAAGTAAAGAGGGGAAAATAGAGATTTACAGCTGGCCATTTTGACAGTAGACTTGATATAAGGTGTTCATAACAAGTTTTGCATTTTATTCCTGGTCCCCTCACACACATTTTAATCATATTTTATGTGATCTATGTATGCAGCACTCATCCCCTCTCTGTCACCCAACCTCTCCAATGTGTCCCTCTTAAACAGATTGCTACAATACTTGTAATGATGGTCCTTCCCAGCTGTGCTGCAGGAGAGGGGAAGGGAGCAGCAGGCTATAGTATTACCATAATACACCCCCCCCCCCCCCCCTGTCCCAAGGGCCCATGTGGGGTTGCATGGGGATGTGGGGTAACTCTGCTGTGGAGGGGACTCAACTGGCTGCCGGTCCTGCAGGCTGTGTGTGTGTGTGTGTGTGTGTGTGTGTGTGTGTGTGTGTGTGTGTGTGTGTGACAGGGCTGAACCTGCCTGTGGGCGATGTAATAAAAGCGCCACACACTGCTGCTGCTGCTGTAGCTGCAGAGGAGGGGATAAATATAAACCAGGCCCGCATCAAGGAGACGGCCCTCCAGTCACAGCCTGACTTACATCCTAATAATTAGGCCCCTTTCCAATAAAACAAGGATTTGTGGCCATGCATCTATTTGACTTGTGTTTGCTGCTGCAGTGGGAGAGATGCATGCTGTGCTGCAGTCTCTATGAAGCTGAGGCTATGGGAGGATTTCATTTCAGCATTATTGGAAAGTGATCAAAAACATTCATCAAATGTTCCTCTTGATATTCAAGACTTTTTTCCTCTTATCAGCACCTTTTGGAAATCACATTTACACAGTCAAAAATGTATTTCCATATTATAATATCTCTATTAAAATCCTTATGATAAAATCCAAATCACGTAAGGGTATTTCCAGTTCATGCACCTGTTTGAAGCATTTACATTCTGTGGCTCTCAAACACACATGCAGGCACACTCTCTGATAGTGGCTGATCAATAGAGGAGGCCCTCAGGTCGACACTGCATGTTATCTTTACCCTCGTAATGTGCACTACCTAATCCTTTGCTCTTACACTCTCCACAACATTACCTCTTTGTCTGTGTGTTGTTCTCTTTTGTTTCAAATACACTATTGGATAGTCATTATCTATGTATTTCAAAAAGAAAACAAGTGATAACATTTGGATATCATACACAGTGCGTTTATATATCACTTGCTCTAAACTACACCGTTGTTAAAATTATGAACCAATTCCAAAAATAAGTCAAATGTTGAGGCATGATACTAAAAAGTGATGACACATTTCCCCCCCCATATATTTAAATAAGGGCTCTCACAACATCAGATGTTCAATAAGCATGGCATAAAAGATATTCAATTACAAAATGATTGCAACATCTTAAGAATATTTAAATATATTGAACATTTTGAAATGATTTGTGTGTTATCCCTTAACAGCATGAGGTTAATGTTTACTAGACATAAACTGGCAAAACAATAAGTGGCTAGTAGATTGGCATCACTCACCATGGTAATCTTTGATAATCTATGGAGTAGTTGCTTACATTTTGCCCTTTAGTTGGTGGACAAAAAAGCTATATTTTGCACGCTGAAAGCAATACTTCAAAGTGATTTCCCATATTTTGTCCCACCGCTGGCTGGCGGACTGTAATTTCATTCCTATTACCTGTATATCACATTAATGAATGTTTGAGAACTTCTAAAGAAAGCACACTGGGGATGACAGCGAAAAGAAGGGGAAAGAGAGGGGGGGGGGGGCGTTTCAGTCCAGGTGGGGGGTGTCAGGATAATTAAAGCGAGCATTTGTCAGAGATTAAGCCTTAAACAGAAAGGTCATCTGAGCACCAGAGCGCACTGTTTCGCTGCTGTTCTCTTAGGGCAGTCTAAACCTTTCCATGCTAAATGGTAAAGATGCTATTTGCCAGAGGAGGGGGAGGGGAACCAGACCCCGACCACTGGTTAGACTGACACTCGGGTCATTGGTTCTTCACTGTCCATTACACATACTGGTCAAATCTGGCAATCGGTGTCATTTAGGAAGGAAAAATAAGTGCTCGAACAAGATCAATAGATGCAGCCGTCTGTAGCAGCTGTGATTAATTGACTGTCACCAATTAATGGCCGGCCTGTTGCAAAGCAATGCAATCTTAGCGAGACAATGGGACATGTCGAAAATGGGTTTTTCTTTTATTTCAGTCTGTTATTGGTTATTCTAGAGTTTCCCATGACACATTCACAAACCACTTGGATACAATTTGCAGGTTTACTATGGCACACTACAACAACATCTTGCATGTCAGGAGCACTTTGAAGTCATTTGTGATATTGAGACAAATATGGGCTCGAATAAGAGCTTGTGCTGCAAACACATCCACACAGTTGTTGTTTTTTTAGTTCAATCAAAATCGGTTACTAAAAATATATTGATATTTCGATGTATGTATACCTGCTGTTTCAAAGGTCTGTATAATAAACTCTCATTATACAGCGAAGTTACAACAAATAGTGTTTGGCAAATTAATACCTAATGCTCAACTTACTTATCTAAACAATTTTAATCATGTAATTCTGTAATTCTCATAAAACAGAAGTTGCACTGAAGAATGAATGAGTGCTGCCCGATAATGCATATAATATTATGTTGAAAACAACAAAACAAGTGCCGGCCATGTTTTAAATTGGCATCAGTGTACACGCTTTTTTACAAGCCAGTCAATTGTAATCGTATTAGATCCTGAGAAGATGTCCTGGTCGGAGATGCAGTGAAGCACAGGACATGTTGCTTTAGATATGAGTAATGGCTCACAAGGGCTAAACTGTGGTGGAGATGTAATTTGAAATATTTGTAGTAGAAATTATGCTAATATTAGCTCACTCTGTATCATTATTTATAAATTAGATCGTTTACCTGAGTTGAAAGCTTGCTAAATATTACAGTGCAATCTTCATTATGGGCAGGTTTCAAATGGATGCATTTGCTTAACAGAGAGGAATTTACATTTAGCAGTTTTTCCATGTTGTGATGTAGATGTTTTTTTATTTGATATTGCAATAAAATATAAAGTATGGTCCTAAGGATTGGCTATGCTTTATCAATAATACAAAAATAATAATAAAATCAATAAATATCAGAAAGTTAAATAACACTGGTAGGTTTTATTGGGAGCATTATGACCTATAGCAACCTGGTTTTCTAAGTCTGTGTGCTTAAAGTTTTGCCAGAACTTTACTGTGTAAATAGTACGAATGAGTTTACTTGAAAAACATTCTTTTTCTTTACAAGCTAATTCTATCCCAAATACAAGGCATCTGTACACAGCAGTAGCCAATATCTGCAAGTATAATTTCCATTTATTTTAAACCACATTCAACCTTTGGAAAGTCTTCCCAGTTTCACTTTTAATATTTACTTTCCAGTTAAATCCATGAAATGCAAATCCCACTCCAATCTAAGTGTCGCTCTGAATGACTCGTTGCTGTCTACACCTTTATGGGAAACACAGCTGTCTTTTCCATCACGCTTTAAAAAGCGACTTTTGCTTTGGCTCCATGAAATACGATGTACACCTTTTGCTCATACCTTTTTTAGTAACATAACATCTGCTTTATATTTTGTATTGTGCATCTTTGCTATGCTTAGGATTAGTTAAGTTTACATCAAATGGATGCATCTTGTATATGTTCTGGAGTATATTATTGTCGATATTACCTATTTGAAACTAAAGTTAGTTCACAGTTTTCTTATTGTTTTCACTACTTCTGAGACCAAAAATACAACTCTGAAAAGAATTAAGAGACCACTGCAAAATTATCAGTTTCTCTGGTTTTACTATTTATAGTATGTGTTTGGGTAAAATAAAAAAAAAATTCTATACTGACAACATTTCTCTTTGTTGGAATTCACCAAACACTGGAATGTAATGGATGCCATACATGTAGAGATTGAGATTTAAGAAACATTTGGAGTGGTCTCTTACTTTTATCCATAGCTGTATGTGCACAACCTTTATAATAACCAACAGATTTTTTCTTCAACCATCACTTTTAAATTAAGACTAGACTTACTTTCAATTACTACATAAAGGCCAAGTAGCAGTTAATGGGAGTCAGTTAATTAGCCAACCTTTTGTGGGAGAAGAACTCCTTTTCTCCATGATCCTCGACAGTGACACATATTATGTTCAATGCATAGTGGAAGTACAGAACAACTAATCAACTGTACATTTAACCCAATTAGTAAATGAACCCAGTAAGTGCAAGAGATTTGTGTAAAATGTGTGATTTGGATTCCTTTTTAGAAGAATATTTCCTGTAAACATTGCATCGAGTTATCTTACACAACAATTAAAATACCTTGGGAAAGCAGATTAATTATCTATTGCTAATCAGCAAAACAAAGTTACCAACTAATATTTTAAAGATAAAGACAGGTAAGAAATAGAGGGGTACCAAAACACAACTAAAATACAAATTGGACTTACATGCACACACGGTTCCAAATGCTGTTGCCTTCTGTTAATGTTAAAACCTATGGTTAAAACAGGCTTTTTTTATGCTCAAACATTAGCCATAACAGCTTAAAGGCTAGCATTATGGAGCATGACCGTATTTTGACTGCACACGTGTTGGTAGGATATCTTACTGCTTCTTCGAACGTTTTCCCGATGAGCTAAGCAGTTTGACTTGGCAAACACAGGTGTATTGTATCATTAGCATTATTTATGCTAACTATTAGCTATAGGTTTAAACGTTTGCGAAATTTGCCGCCTTTTAGCCCTTTTGGCTTTCCGTAGTTCTACGCCTCGCGCGCTATGAAGCGAGTACTGGTGGGACCGGCGGATACTTGTATTTTCCCGGGGGGAGTTTGTTGTGTGTGCAGGGGTATTCTTTTTGAAATCATGGCTGTTAACTTTCAGACATCGATCCTTTCTCTGACTCTGCCGATTTCCTGCCAAATATGCCTCGGAAAGGTAAGTACCGTCCCGCTTTCAGACGGTTTACGTCCGTTAGCCGTAAACAAAGATGTTGTGTTTACACGGAATTCACTTCAGCCTTAGTAACCGTATCGTGGTTACGTTAAGTCAGATGTTTAACGTAACTAACGCTAGACCTTCGTGCAGCTAACAAAAGCCAATGTTTACAGGATTAGCTCGAACTGTTTCCTAGCGTTGTACCATGTACCCTTATTGCCAAACTTGGCTCGTATTCTGCTCGTGTTTCAGGTCAAGCAGCCGGTCATTTGTGCCAACCACCACGTGTTCTGTTCCTCCTGCATGGAAATGTGGTTAAAGAAAGCTAGCCAGTGTCCCAGCTGCAGAGTCGCCATCACAGCTGAGAACCCATGCAGAGAAATCATCGGTGAGTAGCTCCATACAAACAGGACAAAAGCTAGGACTACAAGCAGGATATGAGAGGTAATGTGCCTGTAGCATTTCACAGCTGAGTCACCGTGACATCACAATACATGTTGTTAAAGGTGCATTGAAGTTCAGGTCGTTGTTAATGTTTGAGTTATCAATAGCCCAGTCAATACTTCAACACATACTCTGTTATTGGATTATTAGTGAAATTAACTTGTTATTTACCCATTTGACAGTGGTTTAGCAACATAATGTCATTGGAAAACTGTGGACAGTATCACTGCAGTGTAGCAATCTTCAGATTAATTTAGTCTATGAACCACATACCATTTTCCAAATTGTTGTTTGGAAATATGTCAACATGCATTTCCAAATTTGTAAATGTTTTATCTTTTCAATTTACACATGGCATCTATTTCACGTCCTGGGAGAGGGATCCCTCCTCTGTTGCTCTCCCTGAGGTTTCTCCCATTTTCCCCTTTAAACTGTGGGTTCCTTTTTAAGAAGTGAGGGTCTAAGGACAGAGGGTGTTATATTGTCGTATTGATATTCTGTACAAACTGTGAAGTCCACTGAGACAAATGTAACATTTGTGATTTTGGGCTATATAAATAAACATTGATTGATTGATTGATTAAATCAATCAGTTTATTTATATAGCCCAATTAAAAAGAACGGATATAGGGGTACCAAGTCAATAGCAACAGTTTGAAAATGTGACAGACAATGTGGAATTTCACTCGTCTTGGTACTGACTACTATATTTATTTGTTGCTTAGCTACATTAAGTTGACTTGCATGTTCTTGCATGCATTGCTTTTATTGTAATTGTTTTTTAAAACACAAGTGACTCTTGGATACATTCGTAACTTGCTGACCAACACGATTCAAAATGGAGCTACTGAATCGCACATTTTTAGCTGTTTTTATCTGCTTCTAGTTTTTGTGCTAAGGTAGGCTAACCCTGTCCTGGCCAATGTCTGAGCTGAACAGAAGCTCAGTTGATATTCATATTGTCATCAAACTCAGGGTTAGACGGCCAACAATCATACTTCGCAAAAATAATGTGAGTTAAGGGAAGGCAACAGTAATGGAGGCAGCTCTATACCAATACAACTGATACATATTGCACTTTCATCAAAGCTGACAGAATTGGTAACACGTCTTTAATATGCTTTTTGTCTGTACTCGTGATTCTGTCATAGGAGGCACTAATGAGAGTGAACACAATGACAATCCTTCCATGAGAAAATGTCTGAGAAAAACCAGAGGAGAACTGCTTTTGCGGGAGTATGAGGTATGTGGTTATAATGCTGTGTATTTTCACATCAATGCCCTTTAACAGATGTATCAAGGGGTTTATCACCACCGCATCCACTGATGCGTATTTGCTCATTTACTAATCATTTGATACAAATTAGCAGTTTCTATCAAATATTGTTTCAAGTTACAACAAAAGAACCACAGTGATTATTTTTGAACTGTTTTTGTCACACAATTCTATTTTCTATCAGGAGGAAATGGAAGGGCTCTACATAGAAAACAAGGAGTTGAAGACAAAAAATCAAAGTCTGGAGTCACAACTGAAGAGCGCTTTGGATCCCTGCAGCATTAAAACGGTGCAAATGGATGACAAAAAAGTTGAGCCCTATGTCCTGGAAGAATGGACCAACAAGCTGCAAGCTGCCACCAATGTTTGTGATGAAGTAAAGCTGGACATGGATAAGCTAAAGGAGGTATGTGAACTATAATAATCGATATGTTCTATTGATACCCATATATATTAATCCTGATAGATGAACACGCCAACATGTGGCTGCCTTTCTTCTACATCATGTTATATGCACGAAATATAGACACATTATTAATATTATAGACATTAACATATTTTAATATAAAAACGGAAAAATATGAGCCTACTTGATGCTACTGTATTAAGTACAAATCATTGTTTGTTGTGGAATCCTTTTTAACTTAGTGCAAATGTGTTACTTTACTATCCTCAGGCAAATAGGGCGTTGCGGTTTCAAAACGTCGACCTTGTACAAGAGAACATGAGATTGAAAGCAGAGGTCGTGAGCAGATCTCCTCAGAAGTAAGCATCTTTTTGGTTTTCATGATACATGCATGCTTTTGACTTTTCATTATAATGGTTAATTGAATCAATTTAAGTTCAGTTTCTCCAGGCTAAATCGGTAATACATGTAGGATTTTGATTGTGTCCCTCTATCAAATAAAAAGAAGTCTCAGAGCACTTTCCACAATGACGTTCCAAAAGACAGACCATTTTTATTTACATTTTGGTTTTCCTTTCTTTACAAATGAACTATGTTGCTAAGTTTCAATTGCTCTGTGAAGCACAGCTAAATGTTTTTTGGCTTTTCTGTCATCATAATGTTTGAACAATTTAACGACACAAAGTAACCTGTCCCCAGGTTTGGTCGTAGTACAGTAGCAGCACTGGAAGCTACAATCCAGCAGAATGATCGGGATGTGGACCACCTGACGATGGCTCTGGAGCACGGCGACCGGTACATCAAAAACCTGGAGTCTCGGATCCAAATATCTGAGGAGAGACGTCTTGAAGGGAACAGTACGGCTGAGGCGGACCCGCTGACAACACAGCAACACAAAATCAACATGATGATGAGGAGCTTGAGTGACAATGAGAGAGAGTCCATCTGCAGCAATCCATTGGCAGAAGGTGGAACATTTGTTAGAAATCACACTTCAATGTTCATGCCATCTGCCGATTACAAAGAGCTTAAAAAGAGTCTGACAAGAGACCAGAAAAACGACGTGGACTCGAAAAGCACCTCCTCTGAACTTTTGCCCGCCACCCCGTCCTCGGCCTTCCGCTCCCTGACTCTGAGAAGCCCTGGTGTCCGTGAAAAGAAAGTGGCATTCAAACCTGCGTCTCATCTGAGGAGGCTGGATTTTGAAGAACTGCCAAGTCCTGGCAAGAGTGGCAGCACCATGGAGAACCAATTCAGCAGCCTCGATAAATTACCCACAAGTACTGACGTCGAACCCTCCAAGTCTGTCTTCTGGGGCGCCTGGCAGGGATCTAAACCTGAAGACGGGTCATCTCCAAGTTTAGAGAGCTCAGCTTTAGGAGCCACTTCCAGTACTCTGGTGACGGACGAGCCCAAGGGTCTTGAGACGTTCAGTGACTCCTCCATGGATGCAGCTTACCTGGACAAAATCTCAGAGTTGGACTGCATGATGTTGGATGGAGAGAGCTCCAGCAGCCGAGGATCACAGCTCTCATTGGCTCCCTCCACTCCCGGAGACTTGGACAACACCCTCGTCCCAGAACCACAACCCTGCTCTGATGTCTCCTCAAGCCATGGTGGAAAACCTGCGGCACAGTGTGACCAGAAGAGCTCCCCACCACATAACATGGGAGGGACCTTGAATGACAAAGAGGATCTAAAAGGCATCGCAGAGGAGAGCTTTGCTGCACTGGATTCCTGTAGGGAGAGCGATGCCAATGTCCCTGACAGTACGGGGCACGGAGGGTCCTCCCAGACTGACGAGCTGTCCTTTGATTTGCTGTTTGATTCGCTGGAAGACAGTAAGGCCGGTCCCTCTGGCTTTCTCAGTTCTGCAAGCCAAGACCATGACCATCTTAACCCCACCTCCTCCTCCTCGATGAGTAAGCCTGTGAACACAACAAACAGACACGCACTGCTTATCAGCCAGCCAACCAAGAGGAAGTCTCACAGTCCCTTTAACTCAAGCAGTCCCACAAAACTTTCTAAGCTCATGTAAAACCAGAACCTGTGAGTGTTTGGCTTCACATCCACACACAGCTGGAAGAAATAACTCCACTGTGGTGCTGCAGAATAAATTCCTGAATATGATCCTCTGGTGTAAGATTTGGTCATTTTGTCTGTTGCTATTTGTAGGATTTAGAACAAAATAATTCAGATTTGTCAGATAGTTTATCTTGTAGTCTACTTTTTAGGTCTCAGTGACAGGTCAATCTGTACAGTCTGAGAATCTGTCTGTGTGTTAATCTGACAAACACTTTCAGCCTACCGGTGTTTGTCAGTTTAAGCTATTTAGTAAACATGGTAATTATGTTTTACATGCAATACTGAAGACTGATGAACGTGACTATTATGAAAAACTGATATTTTGAAATAAATATTGCAATGTAAGAAGAGTGTGTGAGGAAATAAATAAGTAATGAAAGGAGAAACATTGTATGCATTTTTTTTTCCTGCCGTGCCTTGATCACATGATTCAGGTCAACTCAGTCTTGATGATTTACATGGGTATATTGGCTTGTATTTTGAGGTAAGTTTTATTATTGTGATATCTGATGGCATTTGGGATTCATATTTAGTGGACTTTTTCATAATTGTATCTTTGGTGTTAGTTTTTTTGATGATATGCATTGCATTGAATGGTAACAATTATGAATCTGCTAATACAAGTGAAAAACGAATAGCCTGTTCATGCCGATTAAAGTGTGTTGTAGACTATAACGACACACATTAGAGACCTCACACGCACAGTCATTCCATTCTAGCAGAAAGCGACTTATTTATTATGCAAATTTAACGATATGTATATTTCACATACCTCTAATCGATGCATGACATTTTAATTGGGTAACCGTTGTGGTTTGAATAAATGAAGTGTTAATTCATTGGGATTAATTAATTAAGGTAAAGACTGTGTACAAGGTTACGCTGGTGTATTAAATCAATTTGTTTAGTGCTCATCTGGCGATTATGGGCTTTAATGATAAGACGGTGGTCTCATTACTACCAAGGGTTAAGATGACAGTGGGCCGAGAACAGCCTGCTGACAAAGTGTGTCTCATACACATATACACATCAGGAATTGGTGTGAAAAAACTGAAAATAAAATGACTACAAAGTAACAATATTTATTCCACGATATGCACTGATGTAGACTTTATTGCATGTTTATAAAAAAAGTCCAACCCAGAGAGATAAAGACCAATGGCAATTTAAATCCAGAGCGTTATGCCAATGGATCCCGTCCTCTAAGTAAAGAAAAAGGTGTCTGGATGGATTGGAGTGAGCCCTTTAAAAACGCACGCGTCTAGTCTCCAGATGTTACAGCCTGCCCTGTGAGCAGTTTTTATCTGTCAGCCTGTTCACTGCTCTGCCAGTTTATGTCTCGCGAGAGCAGCCGAGCACGGGCTTGACGAGATCTGAGGCGCTCAGGTGTAAGAGCCTCTCTCATCCCAGCAGTGGGAAACAGTAGACAGATAAGTGCGTCTGAGAGACTGCAGGCATCTCTGTGATCTCCGGGCTCAAGGCTGCACTCGGCGCACTACACAGCGAACTACACTGCATCATTACTGGATAGGCAAAGGACCACTGTGTATCTATGACTATTTTCCTGCTCTTGTAGCAGCTTTTCCCCCTTCTTCCCGTGCACTTTAATTGGAGAAGCTCGCCAAGATGATGTCCATGAACAGCAAACAGCCGCACTTCGCCATGCATCCCTCTTTACCCGAGCACAAGTACACCACTTTGCATTCCAGCTCGGATGCTATAAGGAGAGCCTGTCTACACACTCCACAGGTAAATAATATCCCAAATAATTTCGACTTTTGTCCTTGACTAAAGTGCATGCAACGCTGATTGCTGTCTGTGCGTAATAACAAGAGGCGCTCCAAGGCACATTCTGCCAAGACGCGCACTTAATGTTTTTTTCATGTTCTCCGCGGCTATCACTCGAAGGGTCTTCTTTTTGAAAGCATGCTCACGCAAAGTCGGATTTACTGTTTTTGTATTAATGTGTATGACTTGCCGCTTCAAAGGGAATACTCCGGTTGTGTTATGTGTCGCTAAAAGTCCCGACTGACAGATCCATTTTGAAATGTTTTTCTTTTATCTGACGTGTTCCCTTTTTTTTCTCCATGTCTTTTTATTTTACCCTACCAATTTAAAACCCCTTTATTCTACTTTTGATCCTAATTTCCTCCTTTGCAGCTGCAGAATAACATCTTCGCGAGCCTGGATGAGACCCTGCTGGCCCGGGCAGAGGCTTTGGCGGCCGTGGATATCGCCGTGTCCCAGGGCAAGACGCACCCGTTCAAGCCCGACGCCACCTACCACACGATGGCAACGGTGCCATGCCCTTCTAATTCCACGGTGCCACTGGCCCATCATCACCACCACCATCATCACCACCACCATCCGAACTTGGAGCAGGACATCATGGACCACATCTCCTCGCCGTCCCTCTCCCTGATGTCCGGGGCGCACGACGGTTCCGGCGGAGGTGGCGGTGGAGGAGGCGGCGGCGGCGGAGGTGGTGGCGGAGGACTCATCTCCACCTCCTCTGCCCATCCGCACTCTCACATGCACGGCTTGAGCCACCTCTCCCACCAGGCTATGAGCATGAACTCGCCTCTCACCCACCACGGGCTCTTACCGGGCTGTCACGGAGGGGGTCAAGGCGGCCCAGGACTCACTAACACCGGACTGCCCTGCATTAATGACTCGGACACAGACCCAAGGGAGCTGGAGGCTTTCGCGGAGCGTTTCAAGCAGCGCAGGATCAAACTGGGGGTGACCCAGGCGGACGTGGGAGGCGCTCTGGCTAATCTCAAAATCCCCGGCGTGGGATCACTGAGCCAAAGTACAATTTGTCGATTTGAGTCGTTAACTCTGTCCCACAACAACATGATTGCTCTCAAACCTATCCTCCAGGCCTGGCTCGAGGAGGCCGAGGGGGCCCAAAGGGAGAAAATGAACAAACCTGACATTTTCAGCGGAGGGGAAAAGAAACGCAAGAGGACCTCGATAGCGGCCCCGGAAAAGAGGTCTTTGGAGGCTTACTTCGCCGTACAGCCTCGACCGTCGTCCGAGAAAATAGCAGCTATAGCAGAAAAGTTGGACCTGAAAAAAAATGTGGTGCGAGTGTGGTTTTGTAACCAAAGACAGAAGCAGAAGAGGTTGAAATTTTCCGCTTCTCACTGATGGGCAAAGAAAAAGAAAAAAAAGTTGTTTGACTGAATTTGGGGACCAAGGGACACTAAAGACACCATTTTCAGTCTTTTGTGTCCAGCGATTTTACACGTTGGTGCACAATGGGCTTTAGATACCCATTTTACGAGGCTTCATATATCTTTTTTATTTTCACGTTATTGGTGAATGTGAAGTATGCAAATAACAGATTACACAAGTTTCTCTCAGTTGTTTCGAGGAGAAGGTTTAGCGACGTCAACATTGCCTTTTAAAACATGTGGAAAGAGGTAATTTGCTTGATACTATAGCGAGTTATTTTCTCCGTATAGGCCTATTATTTGAAGTATAGCCATTTACGAATTACCTCATTGATTGTTGAACTGTGTTTTGGTTTGATTTTTGTCGTTGTTGTTATAGAATAATTCATGAATCTGTTCATTTATTCATGTGTTCATTTATTCTCATTTGGAGGCTGCTATAAACTCAAATTTAGTTGCAAACTTTCTATGGCGAACGAAACAAATGTTTAGGCCTGCATGCAATCTTAATTCATGGGCATTAATTTAGCCTCTATAGGCTGTCATATCCAGAGATATATTTATTTTGAATTTGCACAAAAGAACCTTTAGGTTTATAGATCGGAAATGGTTTTGTACATACAGACATCACGTTGTCACTTACAGCTCCTGTGGAAATACATTATAGGGTTTATTGACACCACTGGCATCACAATGAGGAGTTTTAAAAGAATCCAGAGAGCACGAGAGCCTGTCTGCTTTATCAAGGAGATATACAAAATTTAACTTTTTCTCTCCATGTGTTTCAGTTTTCAGTGCAAACACTATGCATTGGAAACAGAATCACATACAGTAGAGCTGTCTGCTGATTAAACCCTCTTTTGTGGATGGAGTACGTCACTGTAAAATGCCTGTTTTCACATTAAGATCACCACGTTGTTTGTCGTGTTAATTGTTAAGGAAACGTTGTGTAAGTATTATTTTACTTTGTGCACAAGTATGTTTACAAAACTGCGGCGACATGTGCATCATGGAGAAAGTCCAACTGTCTCACAACTTCTCCACTCTCCTCTGTTGTTCTCTTACTTTCATTGGTACTGTTCATCCTGTAAGCCAAATTCAACAGGGAGGTGTGTTCCAGCAATCTTCTAATAAATTGAAGAAATAATACGATGCCTTTCTGGTTGTGATTGGGCCCACACTGAACAGAATTATTACGGTTTTGTCATGTGGACTTTGATGGATGGTTAAACCTGTTATTATGGCCACCGATACGAATTGAGACGTTTATTTTATTTTAGATTCTAGTTTTGTTTTGATTTTACATGTTTACCCTTTTCTCCTGCATTTTTTTTAAATTCTAGATAAAGCGTTCACAAATCGAAATGCTTGGACATTGTTGGATTTATTTCGGGTAACTGAATTTGCTTATTTTTGCAGGCAAACCATTTCAAATGTAGGAATGTCAAACGAAGTATTACTGCAGGTCAGTCACATTTTTTAACTGAAAGGATTTGTACAATACATTTTTGTGCCAAATTCATTTAAACAAAGAAAATAATATGTAATGTTTTAATAACAACACGAACTGAATAATAATAATAATACAAATGTCAAATATAATGAATGTTAGTTTAAAAGTTACAACAGAACAAAGTTATTGATCTCATAATTATAACAAGAGATCATTGCATTTTCAAGTTATAATTTGTAGTTGCCCATCTCTTTGAATGTTTGCGCTTTAGCCTCAACTACAGCAGAATAGGCTTTTAAATGAAGCATGGATTTGTTTGTCTGGAATTCTTAACCAGGATAAAGTTACCGCCTTTTGCTGTGACGAAACGGGACTATCAACATTTAATGAAGTTTAACAGCAGTCAGAATAATTTAGCGACAGAGATGGAGAAGGGGAAAGAAAGGGGGGGGGGGGGGGGGGGGGGGGGGGGTGTACAAGAGAGAGATGAAATTAAAGAAAAAAGAGCATTTATTTCGAAATAAAAACGATCACTGTGTGACCTCTAGCCTGCTGTAAATATTTATATTCTCTCTATTTTTCCAGATATCTTGGTGCACTTTCAGTTGCATTTATAAAACGGATTTTTTGTTGTTGCAGGAAATGTAATATTCATCGCGAATTGCTGATATATAATGCAATATTTTCAGACAGCTATCGGGGGTTTTCAGGGGAGGCAGGCGGATGAAGGAAGCCGCTGTTTTGCAGCAGAGGA